GGGGTGTCGGTGGTCCGCGGTTGCTTCAGGAATTTTGGAAATACTCTCTTTTTCTGTTCTCAGAGTCGGATGTCTTTGAAATTGTTCTCCCAATCACTGTCTTTGTGCTGAGTGATGATGATTTTCTCCAAGATGATGCTGAGGAGCAAGCGGTGTCAGTTCCGGAGTTGAAAAGGGAGGATGAGCAGGAGGCTAACTTAAACAATAGCATTCTCCTAAAAAGTAGCGTGACACATTCAGATGACGGTAACAGTTTAAGCATTTGGGAAGAAAAGACTGCTTCAAATAAGGATAATAGTATGAAATACTCTGAAGAAAAATGTGTTGCTGAGAGTGTGTCTAACAGATCAGAATCATCTCTAAGTGATGGCTGTGATGCAGGCAAAGATAAATATCATCAAAATTATGTGTTGCCTGCATTGTCTTGCAAAACGGAGCTTACAGAGATAAGTGAAACAGGTGACAGAAAAGAATGTGATGGTGATGACGGCTTTCAGAAGATTCCTCCTCTCCTTTCCTCTGCTGGCAATGAAGGTAGAGATGAGACCGTCAAGACAAGTGCAGAGTTGACACTGGCAGCGATATCCAAACATGAGGAGGAACTTGTCAGTGTTGCAAGTGTTCTTTCTGATGACAGTCAAGAGAAACAACCAGAAATCCACAGGGAGATGGAGACAGTTGTTGAAATGGAAGGTAAGTTGTTAATAAGACTAGTGCAAGAGTTTAAGAAATCTCGTAAATCTCAAGTTTTTAAAATAGGTAGAAAAGTGTATAGGAGGAATGCCAGACCTGTTTATTTTGGAGTAAGCTTTTCAGCATAGATTAATATCGTATACAGCAGAAAGAAAATATTGGCTGGAGTATGCTTAGTGCTTTCACAGACTCCTGTGGAAAATAGTGAAACTACAATAAATCGGTACTGTTTCATTCTGCTGCAGTTTGCAAAAGGGTGGCCTTTCATTAGGGAAAAGGATCTGAAAATAAAAACTTGGAGTAAAGGGGGTTTTTGTCCCGATTAGAGATATTAAGGAGGGAAAACGCAACAGGCAGTATCTCATCAACATAAGCAGAGACTGGGAGAGGCATAGTTTAGATTTAAAGTCCACCATTCCTTATAGCAGATGGAAGTCCTTCAGTAAAAAAGGTGTAGAGAAATATTAAGAGTACTTTCCCATCTAATAGACAGAAGGCAGCAGAAGGAGCATCATACTTGTGAGAGTGGAGCCCTAGCAAAGGTCAGTGAGAGTACTTTCATAGGAATTCTGGCATAAGGCTGTTTCATTAAAAACTGTAGTGGATGCAGTGTTGTCCTGTGAAAATCGGAGCTTTGAGTGAAAAGAGGAAGTGGAAAGCAGGAGGTTTCTAACTAGGATCTTTTTTTTTTAAACATTATTTAAGTGGTGGGGGGGGAAACATGGAGAGAGACGTTAGGAAAGAAGTGGAAATAGGAAAATATTGAGGAAGCGAAAGGAGTGAAGAGCAAACAAGTTGTTAGACAGTTTTGGATTATTACTGCTAATTAATCAAGAACATTGGTGACTATATGAAGTGTCGTGCACGTGACTTTTTACCCCCCTGTAGATCTGGATTCTTCAAAGAGTGGAGACAATGAAGCTAGTAACAGAAAAACAAAGAGAAGCAAATTTGAAGATGAAACTCTGAGTTCCCTTTTGGAAGAACCAAAATTTACCTATAATTGTTCTACTCCATTTCTTAATGGATGTTCTCCTACTTTAGAAGAATTGCTAAAAGATGTAG